TTCCCGATTTGATTTTTAGTTAGCATGTAAACTTGATATGTGATTCTAATAATCAAGAATTTTATTTTTATGAGCAGTTATGAGCAGTTCAGCCTTTCTGATCATGAAAATAGTAAACAATACGGCGGCACCTGAGGACTAAGTGCAATGTGTCATACTTTCAACGTTTGAACTAACACAGACGCACTTACACAGACGCATACTTGTTACAGCAAACTATGTGCATGATTCTCTATTTCTCCAACCAGTCGCCAGGTGCCGCTTTATTGTTCTTGTTTGACGTTTCCTATCTATTTGTAAAGACGATCAGAGAGGCTGGAGCAGTTATGAGTGCCTAAAATGGATAAAATTTAGTATGAACTTGATGATCATGAACATCAATATTGGTGATTGGTGTGTTTTAGTTTCTCACCACTGCGGGAGTACTCGGCGCTGTAAGCAGTACATCAGTGCTGTTCGCTCATTTCGTGCCTATGTGTAGTACAGGTGCTAGCACCAGTTGGCGACAGCGATGCGAAGCCGTAGCGTTGTTTATGCCCCGGCCGCCATCATGGGTTGGTCTTCGGGAATTATTTTTTCGGGAATTTCGTTTCGGGAATTTTTTTTCGGAATTTTTTTTTGGGAATTTTGTCCGGATACCGACATCAAGATAGAACCATCGGATGGCATTGAAGATTGTTTGGTGACACGATCAAAAGGAAGTCTTCAAGCAGTGACAGCGACATCAAACATCGAATTGACGGGCGAGCCCGAATATGATTCTGTTCTCGACTGTTATATGGATGGTGTGAAAGAGGAAGTGAAGTGCCAAGAAGAGAAACCAGAAAACGATAAATATTCTTCGGCAAATTCGAGATCGGACGGAAAAAAACCAAACGCCCGTGCAGGTCAAGGTGGTGAGCCAGTAGTCGAATCAAACTTTAATAGAAAAGGACTAGGTTCAAGTCGTGAAGGAAAGAATTGCGATGGATCCAGAAAGCAAGACAAACGGAAGATTCCACGGAATAAGGCGGCGAAGAAACGAAAGGAGCACAAGTGTCATGTGTGTGGTTATGTTACTTCGTATAAATGTAATCTAACTGCACACATTCGAGAAGCCTTACATGTGCGATGATTGTTCGAAAAGTTATATACGAAAAAGTAATTTAAATGAACATACGAAAATCCACAGCGGAGAAAAGCGATTCAAATGTTCCTTTTGTTTCAAATCATTTGCAAGAAAATACACCTTGAATGGCCACTTCCGAGCTCACACTGATGAGCTTCCCCATTCTTGTTTGAAATGTGGTCAACGATTTACCGGAGAAGAGGTCAAACAATCGCACGAAAAGCGATGCAAACGACGTCGATTCGAATGTTATCTCTGCGGATTCACATGTTTCGGTAAAGGCAATCTCAAAAGCCACATGCAAGCAAAACACACCGGTGAAAAGCAATTTAAATGTGGAATATGCGGAAAGAGATTAATCGAAAAAGGTCATCTCAACCAACATTTAGCCACTCATGGTGACAAGTTCCCATTCCGATGCACCAAATTTCGCCGAGGATTCCTAAATGGAGATGATAAAACAGTGCACGAGAAGATTTGCCGCCATCGTCAGTATCAATGCTACATGTGCGAATATTCATCGCTGAATACGACCAAACTACGAAATCACATGCGAAAAGCCATTCCATTGCAAGTGGTGCAAAGCACGGTTTTCCCACAAAGGTAATGCCAAAAAACACATGAAAAGATGTCATCGTATGGCAAAATAAGGATATTTTCGCCCTCTGTTGCGGTATCTTCATCTCATATCCATCATTTGATCGAATCGAAACAATGTAATATGCGGAAAACAACAATGAACACCAAACTATTGGCTTCATTTCGTGGTCGATTCTAACTTTGATTGAAATACAACGAAATTAATCTAATCTTCAAATTTTGATCATGTTAAGGAGAAATATTGAATTGAATACCATTTCGAATTGGGAACAATCGTACAAACAATAAAATCAACTCTGAAATGAACGGGACTTCCGTTTTTCAGCTAATATGGTTTTTTATTTGAGGAATTATTACGGAACGATCTACACGTTACAAAGATAGTCCATCCTTTGTTATAAAAGTGATATTCTGTAACATCGTCCGCAAATGTAACTCCTGCCCATAATTTGAATAATCAAAGACTTTTTTTAAGATGCCCGAGTCTCTCGAAGAGTCATCTAAAGTTATGAGAAATTTATCAAGTTTTTCCCTTGGTTTTTCTTTTTACAAGGTTAAAGAGTAGACTTGTGAAGAAAAAAGAATTTGGAATAAATGTCTGAATAAAGAAACATGTCAAGCAAGAAACAGTGCTCCCATTGTTGTACTTTCATTGATAGAGCTGTAATAAAATCGATAACATGTCGACCAGAGGTCAGAGCGAAAAAAAATTGAATTTCATTTTGACCCTTTATTAAATCAGCAGTGAAAATCCAAAAATCCAATCTGAGAATAATTGTGGCTTCGAAATTAATAAATTGTATGTATAATCGCTTCAACTTGATTCAAAATA